AAAAGTTGGGGGAGAACTGTTGATGAAATCCAGTTGAACTGTTCAACATCTCATCCTGCCTGCATCTTTACCTATTGATTTCATTATTTCAATATTACTTTTTAATATTTATTTTAGGACAAGACCAGAGTTGTGTCTCCTATTATTGATGTAATTAATATGGACAACTTCCAGTACGTGGGGGCGTCAGCTGATTTAAAAGGCGGTATGTACCTGTACTGGAATAGAAATAAAAAGAAAGCATCGAGAATCAAAGCTCATAATCACTGCAGTTGTGGAGTGGGCAGTTAACACACTGTTCTTCCCTTTCATATATCTAGTTGATACTCTACTGGCCACTTCTTTCTAGCTTTGGATTTGAAATTGGCCTCCTTGTCCTCTACTTTAAACTAGTTTATTAGACTAACTCATAAAAGTTTATGCTGCCCTTTACCAATGTGCAAGACTGGAATCAGTGTTGGTAGGATTGTTTACATGTGTCTGAAGCAACTTGTGCTTGAAATTGTTTGCTTTTTAGATAAAATGATCTTAATTACTGTCTAGTCTAGAAGCCCATTAGCAATGCAGTGCCTATGAGATTTTTCAAGATGCCAGCTTGCTTTGGAAAAAAAAATCAAACTCTTCTAAATAAGCAGAAAACCTTGGAATGTGTTTAAAAATGTTTTTGTCACTCATGATCTCTAATCATGGGCAAAGTAAAATGTGACCTTGACAATCCGTAGTGGTTATGTTATTACTATTACAAAATTTCTTTCTCAAATTCTGTTTAAAAGTACTACCGTTTTATTGTGCCTAATTAGTGTAAACTGTTGACAGTAAACAATGAAAAGCTCTTTACAATGTCCCCCTCCCCACACTCAAATTTCTCCTTTCCCCCCTCCCCGCCTTTCCATTTCCCAAAAGGGAGTGGGGGCCCCCAACAGGAGCCTGAACACTAAAACTCCTGTTTGTGGCTATATGTTAACTGCTTTTTGTTTTGTTTTCACTGCTAGTAGGAATCTGGCATTTAAAATAGCTCTCTTACTCTCCCTGCCCCAACCCTCAGTATCTTAGATTTTTCCTGTAACTCTGGAAATGAACTGGCTGTGTAATGGGTAAAAGATGAGGTACAATACCGAAATTATTCAGTACTGCTCCCGCAGTCTTTCAGCTCTTTCTGGATGGGCTTTTTTGAGTGAGGAATGAATTTCAAGCCACTTAATCCCGTTCAGTCCTTGACATACCAGTCCTTAATTGACTACCAAATGTTCCTCTGAGTTTACTGGAACGAATGTATAGTCACATAATGCTGCGTGTGCTTCGCATTCTGGCTGGTGATCTGGAGGCTAGAGGTTCTCTAACCTCTTAATGCTCTGAAATCAGTAATTACCTAAACTGAATATTTAGTTCATTAGTATAAACAACACAGTGAAAGTATTTGATATGCCAGTATAGAATTCCTTGTTATTATTTGAGTACCAGCCTTATTAAATCCTGCAGATCTCCATCCAATCTATTCATTCATACTGCAAGCCCTGCAAATCTCTGCACTGCTTTGTGGTTTCTGCTGTTTGCAGTATGAGGAACAATTCTTTCACTGAAACCTTAGCTGGGTTCTTGTGGTGTTCATGCTCTGTGCTCCTTCCCAACCGGTAGGAGAAGATAGAGAGATTGTTTCACTCGTTCCTGCTTTTTATGCTTCCTCTACTGAACTTTGGTTCTGAAATTTTTCACTTCTTAGTGCGCTTCCTCCCTCCCCCCCATACACAATAGAAATAGATTCTTTAAAATCTATGGAGCCTTTGTACTTTTGGACTGAGGAGGGAGAAGCTGTTGCTTTCAATGTTAACAATAGAAATTTTATACCTAGCAATGTTTAAAGCTATTTGAAGGTCTACTGAAAAGTGAATTATATTCCCTTCCAGTTCCTGGAGGCCACATTACCCTGTTTCTAGAAGCACTACCGCGTTTGGCATCCTGGGACATTTTCACTGAGGCCAAATCTAAACATGGAAATCAAACTGTGATTCCAGCCTCAGATCAGTATCTGTGGCTGAAGCGTGGAGAGCTGAGACAGCTGGGACAGCATTTGTGCCTGCTCAGTTTTGAATGGGCTTAATCACCCAAGACGAGCAGTCTAGCAAATTCGACAAACTCCTTTAAGAGGACAGGGCTGAGAAAGTTCCCAAGTCTGGTCACCGCTGCATCTCTGCACGTGTGTTACAGCATTGTGGGAGGGCTACAAAAGTGTTTCTGCTGTGAGAAATGCTTAATTGGAGTGAACTGTGGTTAACTGAGATCTCATAATGCAGTAGGCTACGCCACATCATGGAGCTTATGCATCGTGGAATTTCGTATTGGGTATGCACTTGTGTTTAAAAATACTCCTTTTACAGAGTTACTGATGCTGTCTCACTGAGTGCAGACTTCCCCCTGTCCCCCCGAGTCAGTGAAAATGGAGAAGGAGGACAGCTTTTATGGATAGACAACTTGTTCCCTCGTTCTGAGTCTTGCAGTGCTGTGCTGTGCTCCAAAAGAGACCCCTTGTGTTCACTAGAGTAAATGTAACTTTCTCTCTCTGCCACTTGTGCTCTAGAGGAGCCTGTTTTTCCAGCCGTTCAGATGCAAGCAGTCTTGCTAGACATGTCGAAGGAACTGAGACTTTCTAATAGGGTGGAAATACTGAAGTTCTTCTGACTTTTCATGCTGGAGGTTTTACCCTACTATGAGTTGCAGCCATTTGTCATGCAGCTACCTGGAGTTTTTGAGTATTCACAAAAAGTTATACTGCAGTAATGAAAGGCTGTTTAAATACTCAGATTTGTAGGAGAAACAGTTGGCATGTGTGCTATAAGAACTGTTCAGGATAACTTCTCTATTGTGTCATGTGAATATCTTCTGGGTTAAAATGGAAATTGTTCAGTTTTTGACCCTCCAAACCAATTCCTATGCGGACAGTCTGTTTGTAGGGCTGTAACTGTTTAACTTTTTCCCACTTCCCCAGAAAGTAATGGCTTTATCTCTTTAATGCTGGAGCAAGGAAGCTATTGACATCTGGGTAGCAGAAATCTGGAAATTGTTCATTACATGAGGTCATAGGATCTAAATGCTTCTGGCAGCGAGCAACTAGAGTAAGGCAGACTTACTAGCGATACGCCTGTATAAAGATGCACCACTTAAGGGCGTAAGCCAGGTCAAAAACCCCTAGGAAAGGGTTTCCTTCCTAGAAAGTTCAGCTCATACCTGCTAGGTTGCTTGTGTTGTTGCCAGAGCAAGCCAGTTATGAGTGTGTTGGGCAGTGGGCTGCTGTAGATGGCAAGCTGGTCATGGCTGTTCGGATGTCCTGCTGGGCTAGACTCACAAAAGGACCAGGCTGGGCAGGCACACGTGTACATACGTAAGGGGAGAAAGCCTCTTGCAGTAGGAGAAATGGATGACTTACAACTTTTCCATATTAACATTTATTTTGAGCAACATTATCTGTTGCTATCTTTGATAGAGAATTCCTCCTTACAGAGAAGTATGAAGAGCCCTGGAGAGAGCTTCTGCAAACTAAACTGTATGAGCACTTGGCAATATTTGAAATGTAATTGTACAACAAGGGTCCTTAAGAGCAATTGTATGGGTGAAAGATCTTCACGTGATATTTGACTTAAGTATATGGGACACTGGATTTGTATAAGGCTTTGAGCCCCAACTGTGTTGCTGACTGAATTTCTTAAATCATGCAATAAATGGCAATAATAGAAATCAAAGTTACTTTCCATTTGAGATTTCTTTTGTGTTGTCCTATCCAGTGGATTTTCCCTTCATCTGGAATCTTGTTCATTTGTTTTCTCCCTGGAAATTTGTGTAAGCTTAAATATTTGATTTATTTCTAGTTTAAGTTACAGTTTCCAGGGATTTCAATCAATGTTACTTCTTACAAATTGAACAACAATTTTATTTTATTTTATTATTTTTTTTAACACTCTGTCTTTGACTTTTTTCTTGAAGGCTTTGATTGGAACCTGGTGTTCAAATGGGATTACATGACCCCAGAGCAAAGAAGAGCACGGCAAGGAAACCCTGTTGCTCCCATAAAGTATGTCTGCACAAGTACTTCTCTCCTTGAAAGACAATGCTCTAACCTTCTGAGTAAAGGAAACTTATTGATTCCTCATCTTAGGACTCTAGCTGTCAGACAACATTGCTGCACTTGGAAGTGCTGCTTCATTTGCTTTAGGAAGACTTAAATGTATGATAAATGGCTGGAGTGCAGTGTTACTCCGAAAGTTATGAGGAGATATGCTGTGGCTCAGTTTACCACTATTTCTGTTCTGTTCTTCTACTTGGGCATGTTGCCCATGTTGCCATCTCATAAACAGACTAAAATTGATATCACCAGTTTGGATGGCCTGAGTGGAAACAAAATTAGTACAGTTAGAGTGTCCATTTTCTTGTATTAGAGTTTATAACAAAGTATAATAAAACTCTTTTTTCAAGAAAAAATGATTTTTTAAAAAATGAAATCACTATTCTCTATTTGATACACTTACATCAATATAAATGATATGCACATCAAATTATAGCAACTATATATTTATTATTAAACTATTTAGAAACTGATATGAGTCTAGGACAGCATAATTTTTGACTAAATTTTTTCCAGGTGTGAAAAGGGATCAAGGGATCTTTGCTATAACCTTTCAGAATATTGAGATGTTCCTCAGTTATTATTTGAACAGCATTGTGGGAAACAATTGGAGTATTAAAAAGAAAGGTTGATTTAAAGGACACTTGTGAAGAATGAATAATCTACTTAAGTAAATGTTGGTTTGTGTTTGGTAGTGGTGTGTTTTGGGGGCTAAAAATATAGCATCAGTTCTAATGTTATGATCTTGGCACAAATTGCCACCCTTTAAATAAGAAACTTGAGCCAAACATGGGTTTGGAATCTGCTTCAGAAGCTGAATGCTGTCATAGTGTCATATCTACTATAGAAATGTTCTATTATGGTGTGCAGAGAAAATCTGAGAAGTAAGAGGTGCAAAATTAGCTGCCTTCAAAAGGATTGCAAGGCTTCCAAGGGAATACTAACTTTTAGATGCAAATAATAGTATCTGCCAATTCATGTTTCTCTAAATATTCAACTTCTGTCTGTTTAGGACCCCCATGATAGCTGGAGGGTTATTTGTGATGGACAAATCCTATTTTGAAGAACTAGGGAAGTATGACATGATGATGGATGTTTGGGGTGGAGAAAACCTAGGTATGTATGTTGCTTACCTCTAGATGATATTTGAAAGGAAATTGTGTCGTTGCCTTTCCTGTCATGGATTCATGGACTTCCTGGTTTAGTTGTAGAAGTGTTTAAATGTGAATTAAAACTTAGTCAATTATTGGCAAAACTCAAAAGACTTCTTCCCAAGGGAGAGTAAGGTAGAACTTGTATGTAAATATGAGGAAAAATATGAGGAAACTAAATTATTTGCTCCCTGTGCCTTTTTTTATGAAAGCTGTTAAATAAAATGGAAAAACTAGAGGCTGTAGATAGGAAGTTCCATTCAAAAATGCACTCTCGCTTGGGAGCCACATTCTTTTCTAATGATATTGATTTAATTTGGAAGTTACATTCTTTTCTAATGATATTGATTTAAATGCAATAGTGTTTAAATGCTGCCATTTTTTTAAGGAATGTCTTAAGATGTAGCTGAGACTTAATCCTGTAAAGCAAAACACAGGAGTTCCTGGGTTTAATCTTCTTACCCACACTTTAAGAACTCAATTAAAATGTAATTAGCTGAAGAATTATGATTTTTCTTAATCATTGGTTCTGCTATCCTATCTGGCATGTGGACTTACTGTTTGTTTTTATTTTGTACCCTATTGTAGTCTGACAAGGTACTTACAGTTGAGAAAACACTTTTGTTGTACATTTCTGTTGTAATTTTCAGAAGTTTGTGAGAGCGCAGGGCTTGGGAGGGAGAGGAGTTTGGAAACTCCTACTTTTAAGGACATGGGTTCTTCTTTGGCCTAGTAGTTTTATTTTTATATATACATGTATTTTAATTTTAATTTTTTTATTTTTATTTTGTCTCTGTGCATTACAGTATTGCAAAAGTCTTTCTTCCTCTCAAGCTGGTGTGTGTGTGTGCGTGTTTTTTTTTTTAAGGTTAGAATGGACAGAACTCTTAACTACTTTTCCAATCTATTGTTCATTTAATTTTTCAAAGTATGGATATGCCTCAAACATTTTTTTAAATAATATGCTTTAAAACCCAGTGTTAAAGGCTCACAAATGCTTACGATGCACAGTAAAATCCTGAGATACCTTGAACTCCCAACAACCAGTGAGGGTTTGTAATTTACTGAAATAACATATGAATTGAGCGTATGCTTGGACTACAGTAAGATACCTGCTGCAAACAGCCTATTTCTACACATGCAGACACAGAAGCTGAACACTTATTGCTCATATAAGGAACTTAAATGGTAGAAGAGACCTCTAAGTCTAGTTTCTGACCTTCCTATGCAATACTCAAAAATCCTATATATATTCTGAACAAGTTACTTTGGGGGTTTCTGAATATCTCACCATTTGGGCTGTACATTTTAAAATTACTTCTATAAATATCGCAATTATTTTCATTTTTTAGAAATCCTAGAAACTCTTTAGACAAGCTATTATTGCAGTATGTTCAGTTTGAAAACCCGTTTTGCTACTAGAGCGCTTAAATATCTGATGTGTGAGCATGTACTTCAGCAGGCCCTCCAGATTCTTCTAGACCTTTGCAGCCGTTCTCAAGCTTTGATAGGACAGGGTGCAAGTAACAGCCACCTACTCAAGGTGAGAAGTGTCTGTGCAATATGTGGCTCCATCCGCTGCACCCTGTCTACCAACCAGAAGGAGATGAAACCTTGGGGTGATTTTTCTGCTCTCACGTGAAAATGCCTAAGTAGTCAGTATAACAGGCAGCTAATGACTTGTTTGATTAGTCTGGGACAGCTATGAAAATAAAGAATAAAAATCAAGTAACCTGTGATTTAATTGGCGTTAAATGAAACATGTACAAGGTACCAGAAACTTGATAAATGGTTTTAAATGTGCTATGTACAATTGTATGAGCTGTTTATTCTGAAGCATATCTTAGACAGGAGGCTTGGTGCTATAGGCACATATTCTGCAAAATGGCAGAATTGGAAAATACTTGTACTTTATAAAACTTAACATTTTTCCTTGAAACACATGCACAACAAGGATTATATTTTAGTTCACACATGAGTATAGGCTTAGCTTTAGCACTTTCAAGGTGGACTAGCTCTCTTTTGCCTACAGTTTAAATTTAAATTGTCTAAGGTACAGATCTTACCATGATGCTGCTTGGTACTCATCAGAAAGAGTTCCCCTCTACCTTCTATGTTCACCAAATATTACTACAACAACATATCTTTTATTGAGAGGTATAATCTTGTGCATTAAAGCAATGTTTGACTTGCTGCATATGCCTTTTTGAAATCTGTATTCACTGAAATTCTCAGTATTTTTCATCATCATTTGCTATTAGTATGGAAAAAAAAAGAATGGCACACTTTATCTCCAAAGGTATCAAAAACATAAATGGAAGTGATAAGTACTTATTTTTTAGTAAACAGGAAAAAGTAAAGTAATTCTTGTTTATGCCAGTGTGGCTTCTTAGGCAGACTAACCTCAAGTTTTAGTCTCTGCACAGGCTTTTATTTTTTTATTTTTAAGTGTGCAAGTTGCCTATACTTTTTTAGGGATTTTTGGAGATGGAATTAAGCAAGTGGGGAAAGCATTAACTTAATGTCTTCAAGAGAAGAAGCGTGAATTAAGAACAAAATGCTCACACACACACAATGCCTTCTGCATCGATTTTCATTTTTTGTCCGCTATCTCGCTCACTTGTCTAGTGGAAAAGTACTTCACTTTTATTAAAATGTCTCCATCTTTTACTAGGGTATCCTCACTGAAAGCAATATTTCTTACTAGTTTGGTAGTGGCTTGAATATATCAATGTTGCAGAGAAGTGTCGTAAACAATGCTAAATAATGCAGCAAAACTATGACAACTCTGCTTTCATAACTTGAGCAGTATGGGACCAAGTTTGAGTTATGTTTGGTAAAGCTTGAAGGTCTTTAAAAGTATAATTTAGTCTGGCAGAAATATAAAAACGTTTTTGCTCAAGCACCTGTTTAATCAGAAATATTAGCCAGACATTTATTTCAAATCAGAATTTTAATTTTTACATTCAAAATAGCATAAAGGGAACAGTGAAGTCGCTGCTTTGAAAGCTGCGTGGAGAGAATGCCAGGCTTAGTTGCTTTGAAGGTTCCTTTGCTGATTGACTCATGTTCATTCCGCCAGAAAGCCAAGACCATAGGGCCAAGATAATACTCGGTCATTAATATTTTTGGAAGATTGTCTGTCTGCTGATCTTGAATGCATGAATATGCCTAATTGTCTCTGATGTTACTGAAATGACCATCAAAGTAGAACAAACAGGAAATGATCCTTGGAAAAGTAAAGGCTATTCAGAAGAAAGGCAGTTGACCCTCACTGTCAAGATCTGAAATGTCCTCGTGTTCTTCAGATGCTCTGTGCAGAGGGAACTCTAACCCTTATTTTTTTGCTACTTTGAACTTTTGAAGTGTTGCTATTTTTTTTTTTAATCATCTCACTCATGGGTAATATGGGTAATACGTAAAGAGGGCTTCTGGGGGAAGAAGGACACTAAGCCTTAAGACTAGACACTGATTTCGAACTATAACAGTCTAGTATGTGGGTGCCTTAGCTGTAGAAAGATGCTGAATGTTTGTCAAGAGGCTTGGAACAAAGAGCAGCGCTCAGCTGCTGACAGCACCCTCCTGGGGACAGAGGGCATCAGTGCTGCCAGGAGACCGCTCTTGTCCTGTTTTGGGGTAGGTAAGCAGAGTTTTTTGTCAGCACTAGGTGATTTCTCCTAAGGATCGACTTTCTAAGATGAAGAGTGTTCAGAACCATTTCTTTTGTCTAGTCCTCACTTCTCAGGTTAGCTTATCGTCTTGGCTTGAAGTAGTATCCATAACTTGTAGTTTGCTGAAGAGATCACATCACTAATCAGATCAAGAAGAAATTCCTTCCATTCAGTCCTATACTTTGGTTGTCTAAACAGTCAGCAGCCTGAATCCGTTGATTGTTGTAATCCAGGCTTGAATTTTTGTCTACCGGGTTATTCCATCTTTAACTGAGCATCTTTAACTGTTATAAGCTAGTTCACTGATTTATCTAAGTGTATCTATTCTTGCTTGTCCTTCTGCTAAAACATTAAAAGTATGGATAGCCCTGACTGACTCTGAAAAGTTACAGCATGATTTATGAATTTGGAGGATGATGGTAACCTCAGATAGGAGAAGGTAGGCAGCTCTGCTTCTAAGTTAATATGGTTATTTATTTTCCTGAGTTTACAGAACAGTAAGGCAGAATACTCAGATATGCCTGTGTTTGTGTTAAACTTTTTCAGCAAATTTTCTGATTTGGCAATAATCAGTATTAGTCTTCTCTGTAAACAAAATGTTGTAATTTTGTAATATTCTAACTGAGGTGTTGGTCTTTCCCTCATGTGTTCATTGCAGAGATCTCATTCAGAGTTTGGCAGTGTGGTGGCAGCCTAGAAATCATCCCTTGCAGCAGAGTGGGTCATGTATTCCGCAAGCAGCATCCTTACACGTTTCCTGGTGGAAGCGGTACTGTGTTTGCAAGGTAACTACGCAAGCTTTCAACTAAATAGTGGCTTTGGGATTTCTTCAAGTGATCAGCAGGTGGCACTGACTTCCCTTTGAGGACCTTTCAGGAGAATACTTGCAACATTATCTGCTATGGTAAAATACTAATTAAAAGGAAAAATAATGACTGTTGCAACTATACAGCCTGAGACAGACCCTCAGAGTTGAAAATTGGAAGTTCCTTGTTTAGATGTATTGGGAGTCTGAAAAAGGAGGAAAATATTCAGCTTGACATACCGGTTCATTTTTTTTTCCTTTTTTGTCTTTTTTTTTTTTTTTTTTTTTAAAGCATTAGTTTCAGAACCATGCCATAAGTCTTCATTCTGTAGAAACAGGTTCATGATCCACTGAGTTGCAGAATGCACTGAATTATGTAGTTGTGTTTACTTTTTGTGTGTGACTAGTATATTAACGATTATGTAGACTGATTCTGGTACTAATACCAACCCACTGAAAGCTTCATTCTATATTGTATTTTCTTTTCTTGTGATATGATTGCAAATGCTTTTTCTATAGACTTAAATTTCAGGCCTGAGGGTTTAGTTTAATATTCACATGCATTCTGCTGTTGATTCAAAGTGTGACCTTAACTGAAATACTGAGCACTCTCCTCAGTTTTGTCTGTAGCATGAATAACAATTTCGTGTTCATGGTGTTAGGCCTTGTGGATTAAGGGTTTGCATAAGTCTGTGACGGACATTTTGGCCAAGATTTTTTTCCTAGCTGAACATCACTGTAGTTTTTGGTTTACAAAATTAGCTGTTACGCAGAGAATTGAAGAAGTACCGTAAGTCTTAGCTAAAAGCTGAGTGTTATAACTGCAAATCAAATCATTTATTTATCCTTTCAGGAAATAAAGCCCAAACTCTTTTTGACACCAAGCAACACAAGAGAGCCCAGGTGTAACTTAAATTTGGAGGAACGTTCAGAGCAGATATTTGGAGTAGTGATTTGCACTAGATTAAAGAAACTCTTTAGAGGTGAACACTTGTTCTGCCAGCAACTTGGTACTAATGAACTGCTAAAATAAAGTCATCATGTTGTTCCTTCCAGTAGTTTTTACAGAGAATTTTCCTTAGTTATCTGATTTCCCCATCTTTTGAGTTCTGCAGTGAAAATGAATATTATTTAAAAAAAAAAAATTACAGCTCTATTCCAATATTTATAGGGTGCCAGGAAAGAATAAAAACTTACCAATTAAGCTATATTGTGTAGGCTTATGAGGCAACTGTTTCAGTTTCACAGTAGGTTTTTAAATGATAGTGTCACAACAAGGATCATATTAATGAAAAATGGTGCAATTCTCATACTGCTCTGCAGCTTTTCTGCTTTGGGCTGTTGCCATGATACTGCTCTTCCTGTGAAGTTACAGATACTTAAATACAGCTTAGGACCAAAAACTAAAAAAAATGTTGCTATGTGTGCAAGGATGCAGGATGAATTAGCAATATATCACCCCAGCAGTTGTGGAAGATGGTGCATTCATAATGGCATTAAGCATGCAGATTTTGTTGCAGCGTGGTCAAATCCCCATTGGGATTTGATCCTCGAAACATCCTGACAATTACTGTGATGTGTAGTTTTTTTATATAAAATAATTTTATGAAAACAGCCTTGTGTTTTGCAGTCATTTGCATTTGAAATTACTTTACAAAGAGGTCTTGTGTAAAGATAACTGAAGCCTGCTGTCTAGTGTCTTAGGTACTTGCACCCCCTTCCTGCTCTGCATTTCTCTGCAGCTGGGTTATTGCCTCTGTCCTTGCTGTCTACCCATCTCAAATACTGAAATGCTATTTAAATATTTGTTTGATTGGGATTAGTTTTGAGTTGACCTAGAAAAAAAGTAGCATGTCACTTGCAACAACCTGTCAACCTTGGTTTTTTGTTTGCAAGGCCGTGTCCTCAGCCAGCTGGTTTGGGTGTCAAACCAATATAACAGTATGTCTGAGCTACCAACTTCCTCAGTAGGAGAGGACAGGAAACCTAACGCGATGCAGCACCTTTGCAATGGAGACACTGCTGGTTACCTGTGGGACTGTGGTGCCTGGGCACCGCAGGCCTCGGTGCTGGGCTTGCAGTCAGGGCCTGCTGGCTTATGCCATCCTCAATCGATTGACTACGTAACGTGCTCTCGTGCGCCCTGGGCAAGTCTCCTGGGTTTCAGTGGGCTCGTCTTTTGGCACCTGGAACCAACAGATGGCTCGGGCCGCCAGGCTGGGAGCCGTACAGCAGGAGAGGCCTCGTGGCTGTGGTGTGGGCAGGCGCAGCGTGTGTCCGCCAGGGTTTGGCAGGTCGTGTCAGCTTTGTGCACACGCTTTCCTGCTTGAGGAGCAGCTGCTTTGCTGCATGGCCTCGCTTCACCTGAGCTAATAAATCCTGCTGACCGCAGCGTGCCCGGCACAGAGCGACTGCGGCCGTGCGGCACCGGCCCTCGTTAGCCGCAGCCTCGCACCGTGCCCGTCGCTCCCCTGCCC